TAAGTAAAGGGCGGGCGATGATATCCTTCACACACCACTAAATGTTTTTTTTTTAAATCGAATGCTGATAACTGCCATGCGAAGTGTTGTGAGTAACGCCTTCAAACATCCATATTTTAAAAAAGTGCCGTTCGATTCGTGGAGCACGCTGACAGGTTCCTTTGTACCCAATTGGCCTAGCGCCCCTACCTGGGAGGGATATAGTTAAGGCAAGTGAGATTTTTGAGGGGAACGCACATTTGTCGATGACAACGAAGACAGCCGTCGAGAAACTGTATAGGGGATGGATGGACAAGCGAACAATGAAATGAGCCAACCGCCCAGCTAGCAGCTACCGGAACAGAAGCTCGGTATAGCCGCACCGCTGTTTACACCGCTGCTATCGAATCTACAGTTGGGCAATGCTAACGTCGCATTTTGGAGACCTTCTGAAGCCTCCAATGGCTGAGCAACAACAATTCTGTCGAAAGTTTTTGCGTGGCGTATTTCGACGGTGGTTCGTGCTCGTAGCTGCTTTGAGCTCGTTTTCGAACTAAAAGGGAATAGTATTAATACAAAGTAGAGGAAATGTTAGCGGACGGATGACAACGGACCGGCGACCTAACAGCCTGCGAGCGAAAGCCTACATTCCTGCACGCAGGTGAAAAGAGCTGCGGATAGCTACCGTCGAAAAAAAGAGTTAGCCACGTTATGTAGCCCATGTGTTTGCTGGAAGCGTACACAACATATAGAGGTCATTGAAAATTGGATTTAACCAGCGAAGTAAAAGGACCGACCGATTCCGTGTCCAGCTTTGCATCCCGTCCTTTAGAACGTTCCCGTTTAGCATTCCATTGCAGATATACATAAGGCGGTTTCTATCTCCGTCTGTCTAAGGCCGACGTATTAACGCTCATTCCTTTCAGTCGTCTACCGTATAACACGTTGGATTTTTACGGCGCCGGGCGTGTTTGGCTTGTTCATATTTAATAGGCTGAACGTCCAGGTCTGCTAGTTTATTGCTATGCGTAGACGCGGGCACCTGGGAGTACTTATCATGCGCTGCTAATTTTCCTTTGACATAGTTCAGGTAAGCTTCCCCGGTCGCATTCGTAAAGGTGGCGCTAAAAGTATGACTGTGGCATCGTGTTTGTTTGTGAACTTGTTTGTGCAGTCAAAGTCAGGACATCCTAATAGGATAGACCTGCAGATGCTAGCGTTTCACGCTGACCTTATCACATCTACGTGTTCCAGTTTCAATAGTCCTCAGCACGCTGGCTAGAAATGAAGTCTTACGAAAATCTGTAAAACCCATAAATGAACACCGAAACTGATAGTAGTTGTATTGCTGTATCGATGCTGGGATTTGGCTGGCAACGTTTAATTTTTTTTTAAATTTTATTTTTTTTTTTTAATTTAAATTTAAAAAGTTAAAAACTGTTAGAAGAAAGAATATGGGCAACAATCCTAATCTGGTGATCGTGCTGTTGGTCTGAAACAGTCATATACTGTACCACGCTACCAATCGAAATTACACACTGGGTTTCGACTTCTAGTCACTAGGCATGTAATTCAGTCCATGGAACAGTATAGTATGGCTGCCTTATAGCAAGTGAAACTTAAAGGCGCAAAAACGTTACAGCAAAGGGAACGTGTTGATTGACTACACGAGTGTAAAAGAGGACCTCGGTTCGAAAGCTCAAGGCTCCATTTTCGCCGCCGAACATGAGAGCAACCAGCTGACGGTGCCTCGGCCGCATCGAATGCCACCGTCACACAAGCGACACGGATAAGTAAAGGAACTAACGGGAAAGAGGCGGCTGATTCATCCAATAAAGCTAATTGGTTACCAATTGCGTGCCTTCCGCAGCCCCACCTAGTGGGACAGGAGCGGGCATCTCTCCTCATTGGCTTATCTCCTACTCCACCTTCACACCCTGTTTGAACCAAGTATCGTTAGTCGTTTGCCACTGACGTACTGCCAGGCTGAGTAAGGCAAGGCAATGCCAGCTATCGTATTCCATGACGATAATCTGGATATAAGAGCCGAGCAGATTGACACGCTTTCGCACGCATATAGGTATCAGTATAAGCATCAGCCACATAGACAAATCACTGACAAACATTTACATATACAAGCAAATATATAGGCATCGCAATAAATAAAGTTCATTTAGAAACGGCGGCAACTGTTCGGGGATAACAGAGCAGATTTGAATTGGTCAAATTGATCGGTTAGTCTTCTTTGAGGCGAGGAGGACAGAAAGGTCTTAGGTTGCGTTAGGTTGCCTTCACTATGTTTCTCAATATAAATGTTGCTTGGGATGCCGAGTCTACTTGTTTTATGTAGTATAGTAGTCAATTCATCAACACGAAAAACGCGTCAACGTAACCTGAAACACTAGAGTGCTACCGTATTGCGTTCAGTCGCCTAATAGACCGTCAAACGCGTAGAACTTCCATTTTAAAAAAAGTCTGTCATTAGTCGAGGACGTACTTCGCTTGCGTCTGTCTCTACGAGTAATCTGCTTATTTAAGCAGTGCACCTTTGGTGCTTTGAGTCCGAAGGCAAGGCTTACCGGATAACTTCTTCCTACAAGAGGAAGAGGAGACAACACGTTTATAAAATGCGGACGGCATCTCTGGACAGCACGTTTACTGGTTAGCCCGTTGGACAGCTGTATATTCTTTTGGTATGGTGTTTTTTTTGTTATAGGGTGAAATCTCTGTTCCACCGAAAAAAAGATCCGGAAAGCTTGCTTTCGACGACCATCGTCGATTGCTTTCGAGTCGATGGCGTACAGACACGCAAGGGAACTTCCAGAATGCGGGATATGGTTCGGGACTGGTCATATCTTCAGTTCTGTATAGGAAGAATGGTACTTACCCGCTTTTCTACTATGGATGGCTGGTTCGCCGACCTCAGAACGCATTGGCTGAGCTTCGTGTGTCTTTTTCAAAACAATAAGACCAACAGTGGAATCGACAGTCCAATGTCAAAGGTAAAGTTCGTAACAAGAGCTGGTTGACCCAGCTAGCTACGTTCAGAGTAGGATAGGACAACCACGCTGGCAATGCTACTCTCACCGAAGTGCGCGGATGAAGTGACGGGGGCGAACAACCACCGCCGGCGATCAGAAGGGCTATCAGCTGAAAGGATCCGGAAACAAGAAGTTCGACAAACAATACCAATGTCCAACAAAATTGGCTTTTTCTTCCTGCCAGGTAAGTACGTTGAAACGCGGACAGAAGAACAATAACCGGTAAAATAACCGATATGTTATGGGACTGTAATAGAGCATTGAGCTACATCGGAGTACATATATAATAGTACCTCCAACACTAACGGAATCCTTGCAATAATTACGTAGAGACAATCGATTGACTTTGTTCGGAACTTTACTGGCATCGATTGTTTCTTCCCAATTCGTTTGAGTGAGCAAACTCTCCGTACAGAAGAAGATTTGGAGGCAGAGTAGTTGCTATCCTCCTGTATACGCCATTCTTATCAAAAGCGATGCTTATATGTGCAGGCTGTAATAGCGTCCCAACATCTGCAAACCCGTGATCTTCCTTCAGAGCTGCCTACTTCTTTAGGAATTACTGTCTAACATCTCTCTCCTCGAGCCTTAACCGTGTGAAGCGCAAAGTCTGGAACTGTCCTCATTGTACGGCCACAAGGTTCCATTAATTCAGCAACGATGGACCGGGTTCCACTTACACCTGATTGTCTCCTGACATTCACCCCCGTTATTTTGCATCGCCTTACTTCTTTCGCTAAAAGCTTGACTCAATCTTACGGAGACCCTACAATACTCTTCAACAATCCTTTGGCCATCTACGGCTCATGTGATCTCACCTTTCACGTGTGACCTGTTCCGGGCGCAACACGGAAATTCACATATGTAAAAACGGAGCGCTTGCTTCTAATTGTAAAGAGCCCTTTGCGCGGACAAATGATTACAAGATAAATTCTTGGCTGCATGGGGAATAAGTACGAATAAGCTCATAAGGGAGCATGGTACTGCAAACTCGGCACACGCTCGATGAAGTTGAGCAAAATTGGCCTGTTTACCATTTGTAAAAACGATTTAGGAGAATAAGTTGAATAGAGTTAGGCCGCTTACTAACTTAAGCGTAACTTGAGGACAGGTACCCCTAACGGAAAAACAGATGTACAGTAAAGTCGAGCGTAGTAATGGTTAGTAGTGGTCATGTAGGATCGTGCAGTTTATGGTGTGTTAGACAGTCGAAATGCAACTGATGAACTTGAATGGTAACTTGTGTTAAATACTCGTGGTACGATCGATGCGAGCTTATTAAGCTAATTCTTGCGATAGCTACAGAGTTTACACAGATTTTCGATTCTGCATGAAAAACTATCACTGCGTTAACATCTACCGGCATTTTGTGTATCACTTACCGCTCCAACTTTAATTAGCTTTCTCGCATACATATGGTATTTACAAAGAGGCCGTCCTATCAGGCGAGAAGATTCTTTACGTGTAAAGGAGCCGACCATGGCGCGATACTGGTACGCCTTACGTGGACTCGCTGTTACGTCGTTGTTCGTTGACGATGCAGTAACACGCATAGCAAACGCATGCCAAATCCAAATATAATACTAACACATATATATTGCGAGAGGAAGAGACGTATTTTGCATATACATTATGAAGACTTAACGCAAAGCTCTAGATTGTTAGACACATCACCGCATGTGTTCGCGCACGCATGCCGCTTCTGTCCTATCTATAATTTGGTCCTCTAGTGGAAAGAAATTAGTTGCTAACGTCACCATAGCACTGGTGCTCTTAGTTTTGCTGCCCTTTAAGTCACTACGCAAACAAAAGCTACGAACGTTCAACATACTGGACAAATTCAAGCGATGCCAATATCTGCGGTAGTTTAATACGCCATATCAAATGGAAAAAGAAAATGGCAACCCTGGGAGACGACAGACGTTTTTAGCCCTCAGGCGCATACAAACTCCACGTATGGATTGTCACATACGACTCTACCTTCTTGTTGCCGATACGGCTGCATTAACCAAGGCCAGAGAAGGTGCTCGACACAGGTCCTCTTACCACGGTTGACAGATAGAATCATCACGCGTAACAGGCATGGCCAGCGTCGACTTCTATAAATGTTGGCACTCTGCTGGCTACGCTGCAGGAAAATCACAATTATCTGTAATAGTAGATACATTTACAAAAAAAATATTTTTAAATGAATATGGTAATGATATTGCGATAATAGTTTTTCTAGTCTTTTCTTACTAAGTTAATTGAAAAGGCATTTTACTAACTATATTGACGCACGGAGTAAAATATAATTGCACAATCGCATTGCTAATGCATGCACGGTTTTACATACCTAATAAGAACTTCTGTTTGTCCTGAAATGTCTAAAGCATGCACTCCCTGCACGATGCTACCTAGCGGAGGGCATTATCTTAGACCATTGTAGCCAGCGCGTAGATAATCACGCGCGCATCCTGGCTTCTGAGACTAATGTAGATGTTTTCGTATTTATTATTATTATTATCGTCATGTCTGTACACAAACAGGAAACTTTCACTGTAATTTTTCATGTTAGTAGGCCTCAAATTATACGTAAATCATCCGTGATCGTGTTCATAGTGTTTATGCTAAAAAAGCGGACCTATCGAAAATGCAAGACATCGGCGGCAGGCACGTTTTGCTTTTGATCCCTTTTCACCTCTTCTTTCTTTTCCATCCTCTATCTACGGATATGTGACGTTAGGTAATTTTTTTCAATGGCATTAGCATTGCCGCCGCCGACCAATACCTTTTTCCCTCTCCCTCTTTCTTGGAGCTTTGCTCAAAAAAGTGTCCAAAACACCTTGAAGCAGCACCACAATTTACAGGGCCACAGTTGTGGCCTGCTTGCTTTTTTGCTGCCAGCCACTTCTACTAGAAACTGCCAGGCTAAGTGCCATATTTTACTTATATTAGCACCACCACCCAAATCAAATAGGATGGCCGGACATAAGACCACCGGACCGGATGAGGCTATAGAGCTGCGTATGCCTGTCGCATGTGTCTGTTTGGTAAACGTGCATGTTCACGTCGGTCTGCGCGGGGGGGGGAGGGAGGGAGGCAGGGAGCGAGGCCAAGACGAAAAGGCTCACGCGTGTTAAGGCGTAGTTGTGCGTTAGCGCCAATATCAATGCTGGCTAGGACCTAGTTGATTTGGCATCTGCCCCGTCGACGTCATCGCTTTAGTTTAAAGAACCTCAGAGTGATGCGTACATCTTACTAAGTCTGATTTTTTCTGTATACTTTACATGGGTTTTTCCCCTTTTTCAGTCTCGTTTACTTCCCCTATATCCTACTACCTCCTTTTTTTGGACGGGTCGCATATATATCTGTTAAGCGAATTCGTCTAAAAGGGCCAATAGCTGTTTGTCCAAACTAGCCGTCTTTTGGTAATAGATTCCCTACTTCCCAAGCGCTAATGCTAGCCCTCCTACACCCTGCTGCTGAGTCAATAGATGCAGCAGTTGGAGGGGCGTACAGAGTGAGGTAACCAAGCCGGAAGATATCATAGTGCTGTATGGTGAAGTGATACAACGGGCGTTCCATTTTACCCGTCTACAAGCAGAATCTGTTTCGATTTAACTGCTGACCACGCCTACGCGTCTCCAAATATGGGAGCTAAATACAGCCCAAACCAGAACGCCATTTTAGGGGGCGTTTGGCCAAATTAGACGGTGGTAGCCGATAGATTAGAGTAGATACGAAGGCAACATAGCTAACGGTTTAGCTGGACTCACAAATTCATCGTTATAGACGGCAGTCACTAATAAACTGCTGGATAGTCGTGCTACTCCTGTGGATTTATGGAGCCGTCCCATCAGTTCAACTGGATTCAGCGGATATAGCAATTGAAGTGGAGTAAGGAACTGTGCGAGCGTACGAGTCGATAGTTTTGTTGAGATTAGTATCCCCTCCCAATTTTTGGGACAGATTTTTATTGTCAGCTCAGTACTGACGAATTTATGCCCTTACATATTACATGTGCTTTTATTACAATCATTACGCATGACGCTTGAGTTATGTAGATGCTTATAAGTGCTTTGAACAGAGCTAAAGAATAATCAAATTTTAAATGGTTCGTCAGTACTGACCAGGACAGCAATCGGACTAATTACCTCTTAGACTTCCGATCGACCTTCAGAGCCGATTTAACCGCTGGTAAACATACTCAAGTTAAACACATACATATGCACGAAAAAGGAAATAAAATTGTTTTAGTTTTATTAGGAAAAAATACCAAATCGGAAACACTCTACCCTATCAAGGCTGAACGACACTTGGCGACCGAAGTTGTTGTTTCGTACACATGTCTTTCGGAGCAGATTTTCGTTAGTGCTATTATTGATCAGATCGTACGTACCGTTGTAACTGCTTTCGCTTGCTTTGTCGTTTGTCTATCCCAATAAATGTAAAACTGTGAATTTCTGATAATCGGCCAATTGTGAACAATGTCGTTACTGAAGTCGCTATTCGATTTGGCAACTGGTTAGCCGTTTGGCCGTGTGCTTCTGCAATTTTAAAAACGAATGTTTTAGGTTCGAATTTTAACGCGGGCAAATAATACGCTCTTATTTTTAAGGTTGATCATCACATGTATAGTTGCCATTCGATTTCATGACTCTGTTGGAAAGACTTGAGATAAATCCAATAAAACGCGTGCCGCTTGATGAAATCCTTGATATTATGCCTAAAAAAGCGCTATGTTACACATGATCTGAATCACATAAAAAAAATACTGGAAGATGCTCAAAAAATTAGCAAATAATCAATAATTAGGTAGGTAGATAGATAGATAGATATAGGACATTTTTAAGCGAGTATCAGCTAAGACATTGGGCTAAAAGCGGCTTAAATATAATATACTTGCAATAATTCGCAACAACATTTCAATTTAGCTTTACGTAGATAAGAGTTTTTAATTGTACGCTGCTTTACCGATGTTTACTATGTTTCAAGTTTTACGTCTCGGGTCGCCGTTAGACGTTCCATCAGGCGGCTGGCTTCCAGGATGAAACGAACCATGTGTCTATGCCCTATGGGTTGGAACCTAGGCCACAATGTGTCCCTAAAATTAGTAGACAATTGATGTTTACCGCCCTCAGCAAACAGCACCGCTATCAAAATTAAGTATTACAAAACGAATTGACTTAGCGAGCGAAGTCAGGTAGACTCTAGCAAAAAGTTATTTTTTTTTTTGTTTTTATAATAGCTTCACCTGAAGTCACCCGCTCACTTCTGCACTTACTGGTTCTCTTTTAACATCTGTTATTGACCGAACGAAACGATTTTTTCAAACCCGCTTACCTCTGTTTATATTTAGTTTGAACGTCCCTAATATTATCGAATATATTTTGGGGACCATGTATTGCATCGAATTCAAAGGGCCATCCGAGTATTCAAAAAATTAAATTAGTTTATATAGTAATGTCTAACATGAAATAAGCACAGCAGTGGAACACAACCAATTCCTAACGTGCAGCTGAGTGCTCGCTGGCACTTCGCTCTGGGGGGTGTGCGAAGCATACCTGCAGGGGATATTTGGTCATATTGGACAGCCTACAACACAGTGTCAATCGCATAGCCCTTAATCAGTAAACAGACAGCTAAGTTGAAGTAGATCGAATTCAAGAAATACGTTAGGAATAATATTTCGGTCCATTAGTTTGACCTTTCCTCTTACTCCGTCGACTAATTACGAAACTTAGACGATACGCAACTCTGAGCGTAAATATAGCCGTTGTATGAGAAAATATTCGCACGATAACTATTTAGAGATTCGTGCACATAAAGCAGGGACGAGTTTATATATTTTTACTGCCTTACGCAAAACCCATAAAATAACAGAGTTATTTTACAGTAATGGCAACTGTAGACTTTGAGGCCTGAACGTTCTATGGTGCCTTTTAGCACCATGAATGCTAACTGAAAACTCAATATAATGTTTATCTACTGTTACAGTTTGATATGATCGTCTCATTGCGATAAGGGGCGCCATTCGATTTGCAGTGGCAGGTATACGCCATCTCGTATAACGGAAGGGAGTCGAACGTCATTCATTACTAGGCACCACAGGAACTCAATTATGATTTGTTAAATCTTTGCCAGTGTGCAAGCCCCGATGCCATTGTGGCGGCTGATTAAGGTGCAGCTAGGTACCTGCTATACGCTTACTGGGTTGGCCCGTATTAACCTCTGTTGCACTCAATTGACTGTTGGTACATTTGGGTACAAACATAACGTTTAAGCTGTCCTTTTTTTTCTGGATTTTTGAAGTACACGGCATATTTCAGGATACCTATGCATTGCATTAAACGGGCAAATTATCAACACATTAGTGTATTAGCACATGCGAAAGCACCGTCCGTGATTTCTATCTTTCCTTTACCTGCCACTAAGGTATCGCGATGGAAGCCCTTTTCGTTGTTCCGAAGCATCACTTCCAACGAGCGCTGACATCCTCTCCTAGCATCCCTCGGTTCTGTTGAGTGGCTGTGAACTAACAGAGACCGCTGCAGGCTGTCGAGTCTAACCACTGCTGAATCAGGCCGCGCTGGTTCGAGATTGCCACCTATTTTACGCAGAGCGCCGACCATAGACACTTCCTCGTTTTTTCAGTTCAGCTATAATCGGTCTCACTCCTCACCTGAGCGCTCTTCGCTACTTTCATCTCTGTGGCAGGCTTGACTCTGCCTGTTTTCCCATTGTGACAGATCAGCCATTTTCCTATCGGCCCGTCGATGCTTTGTACAAAAGGACGGATAAAAAGTGGAAGCGCGAGACACGCCAGGTTAAGTGGGCAGGCCTGACGGACGGACGGACGGTTCACACGAGGATGGGACTGCACTACGAGTAGCCAGAGATTTCCTCGGGCACAAAAGGGGGTATTCTGTAAGAACGAGAGCAAGGACCGAAATTGATTTACTTGCCCTTAGAGAAAAGCTGAAGTTGGCCTGTTCTCTTTCGTAATAGTACGGCTTCTGTTAGTGGCTTGTGGTCTCTGTTCCGTTTCTTGTAGTCAGACTTTTATGCTGGGCAGCGGCGACAGTGACAACAGCGGTTTTAGCCTTCATCGTCATTCAACTGGCCTATACTACTGCGTCTTGGTTTACGGGCAGGCCAATGCTTCGGCAGTCTTCTTCCACAATTCGAGCAAGGCCACCTATGAGGAAGGGAAAAAAAAAGAAGAGAACAATAGTCCCGCCCTGAACATTTCACCACCATTACTGATACCACTCCAGCTTCATATTGCATTTCCTAGCTCGAACTCCGTACGTACATTGTCTTCCCATTGTTGAAAACTAGAAGACCAACGAGATTTCGTCGTGCTGCAATGCCTCATATGCTACCTGTAGGCTGATAGTCAACTCATTACATGTGTTCTATAGGGCTTTGTTTGAGAGGAAAATCATCGTGGGAAAACCGTATGTGTAAAGCTGAAACAACAGGAATGAATCGATTTTGCTTTTTGTTTGATGTTCATTTCCCATATGACTGGACTCGACGTCGCACCCAACGTCAACCGATGTTTTGCTGTGACGTATATTATTAGTATCGATTTCGTAATAAATCATACGGGACAAGTAAATAATGATTTCTTTAGCTCCGCGTGGACGTTGTTACTCTTATTAGCGACGATGCTATTGACGGAAATACACTAAAAGCCTATATCGGTTACTAAAGTGGATCTAATTGAATCGCGCCGATTCATTATAAGTGATTCTTAAGATAAGAAGAAAGGCTCATTGATAGAGCCACCACGATAAAGAAACCACAGATCTTCAATTTTAGCTAAATTTCCGCATCATTATTTAACCTTACTGGAAAGCTAAGGACGGAAGGTAAACTTGGATACTATCTAACGATACGTACGTAGGTCTTTTTGCAAAACTGATAAGCCCATCAATTTCTTGATATGTCGTCAGATTTGCTATCCGCTTTAATCGCAACTATTATATTTGCATGTGTGTGTACTTCAATGTATCCGTCGGTATCATCATCTGTGTTCGCATACAAGCCGTACTTTTCTTTCTGAACAGACCAGCAAGACTGACCAAATCATTAATCGTAAAATTAATCTTCCAGTATAGAATGAGCCGTGAAGACATCGAAATAACAGCGACAGCATGTCCGAGATGTGCACTTAACCTTTTCATTCAGTCGAAACAGAAAAAACTGTCTACGTATCAATAGGCAGAAATTTAGAGACGTGACGTGCCACCAACAGATACATGTCTACGGTACCATGAAGGGCATAGGGTTGTTCGTCCGCCGGGACTATGTAGGAAGCACGGCAAAAACCTAAGCCGAAGCCTCGTCATAGGACAATTTTGGAACGCTATGCGGCGACATATGTGAGATTTACTAACGTCACGTACTCTAGCGCGTATAGAGCACACACATAGGTTTCGAAGTAGTAGTAGTACTGAGATGTGCTTTTCATTTTATTTGTACATCAGCTCACGTTGCAGTTTGCTTGTTGCGGGCCTCTCGACGCAGGTTTATTTACGAGCTAGCCAAGCAGCCACAGATTCCATTTGTGAAAGCGAATTTAGAACGACCGCCTGCCCGAGTCGAACGGTCGTTCTGCCCTACGTCCCACCTCCGACAGACCCCGTTGGTCCTCTTTTTTTACAGCCCCTGCTCAGGCCACGTTAGGCCATTTCATCTTGCGCTTTCTTTCCCCATTTGTGATCTGTAGTGGCATCGGCGCCAGCGCCCGGACGCCGAGCCGATGGAACGAGCTAAAAAAAGGCAAATGCGCGTACAACTAAGACTGATTGCGGTGACGTGTTCTTTTCGTGTTTTGCCAGACCACTGGCTACGTGCCGTTACAAAAGAATCGAACGCGGACATTGATGACTGTTTTGGTTCACAGTGGCAATCGCCTACCGTACCTACTGCTGCCGTATAACAAATTCAGCGACGGTGTAAAATAAACTTCGTTCTAGCTAGTTGACTAAGCGCCTATATTCATTAGGCCTTCTGGAGAGGCATTGTCTATGAATGACACATGGATGCAAATATACGAGCATGTAGCTAACAGATGGCAAAAAGGACTTCTAAAACACGACGTAAGCCAGTCAGCCGTTATTAACGAACGAGCTTGGATGTGCCATAGTAAAACTTTAGAGACAAGCGTTGGTAAACAATGCTCGTGTCATCAGTTTCGTGCGTCTAAAAACTCGTTTATTACATCGTGTGACTTGATGGCGTTTTTGGCATCAAGGGAAAGGGAGGTTGTTTGGTAGTTACTCGATGGTTGACTAGAACTGGATATAGCCATATTATCTTACTGGCATTAGAAAATATATGAGCCATTGCAGCAGATGAAATTTAGCCACCGGATTTTGAAGCAAATTGACTCAGCGTCGTTATCAAGCCGATACTTGTTATTTAGTTGATCTCATTACGGCAAATACATAGATTGACTATTGGTGGAGTTGAGCCTTACTCAGCTCATGTAGAAGAAGTAAC